TCTGCTCCCGGAAGGACCTGGCGGCCACCCCGAGCCGCCTGGGCTGAGAGGGAGAGGCCTGGCACAGGCACGAGGACTCTTGGCATTTTGGCCAGTCTCGAGCAGCTGTGCCGAAAGGTCCTGGTGCTTTGGGACCCCGGGATGGCGCCTGTCACTCTCGGTACCCTGCCTCCTTTGTGCGCTGCAAAGGGCTCATGTGGTGAGGGTCCCATGAGCTGGCAGGGCACCCTGCTCTGGGTCTGGTGTTGGGAGTGCGCAGGTTAGTGGAGCTGTCATCATCCTTGTGCTGAATTGTGTGCGATTTTTTTTTTTTCTCCTCTTGGAGAGAGTGTTGGTTGTGGTCATCAGATCTTAGGGGATCTGTTCAGAGCCATGACCTCGACGTGTTGGGCCAGGGAGGTAGGAGGGAGCCTCTCCCTGGGACTCGCCTGCCCGCCCCTGTCTGCGCCCTCTCCTTCCTTCCCACACTACACTCTGTCTGAGGCCGCTGGGGAGGCCCAGGCAGACACCACCTTGCCAAGGAGACTGATTAAAAGCAGCTTGGCTGGGGTGAGCAGCACGCTGTCCTTGGCCTGGAATGGAGATCGATAAGCAGGTGTTGCTCTGTGGGTGAGAAGGAAGGAATTCTCTATCGCTGCCCAGGGGCTGCCAAGTGTCAGTGTCTTTTCAGGAACCCTTGTCGCTGGGTCAGAGGCAGCGCTGGGAGGAGGACAGGGGCTGGGCCTGGCCCCCACCCTGAAGGAGGCTGGCCCACCTGGCCAGGGCTGTGCACCGCGCACGCGAGCCGGCCAGCTCTACAGGATGTAGGTTCCTCCTGGGAACCTTCTGCACCGCAGCCTGGCTGGTCAAGGGCACTTGGCAGGCGTTTGTTGGAAAAATTCCTTTTTTAGCATCTCACTCGGTACCGGACATGATTCTCATGACCTTGGGTGGGCGCGCCCATTTCACTGAAGACAAAGTGGAAGCTGGGAGAAGCTTCTGTGAGTCAAGCTGAGCTGAGCCCACGCTGCGGAATTCCAGGAAGATGAGGTGGAGGGATAGCATGGCTGACGGGGTCTGGAGAGTGTTGGGGCTCACTGCTTTTCCTCCCCGACGGGGAAGAGCTGAGATGGGACACTGTCGTCTTCAGATAGAACTGCTGCTCCCTCCCTCATGTCTGTATGTGTGCAAGGTTTATTTGAAAGGCAGGGAGAGACACACACGGAGCTCGCATCTGCTGACTCGTCCCTAACAAAGCTGTAACATCTAGAACTGGTCCCAGCCTAAGGCGGGAGCTTGTGTGGGCACAGGGGCCATTTTCCCCAGCTTTCTCAGACTGCTAAGCGGGGAGCTGGATTGGAAGTGGAGCAGCAAGGACTTGAACCTGTGCTATTGAAGGATCCTGGTACCCCAAGTGGTGTGCTGAGCCCCTGGGGCTGCATTGCCGGCCTCCCCCACTGACTGCCCGGTACAATCCTATAGCATTTTAGGCCTTATCATTCTAAGCCTGCTTTTTTCTCTTTGAAAAATTCATTTTGGGGGGCTGGCATTGTAGCATAGCAGGTAAAGCCCCTGTCTGTGGTGCTAGCATCCCCTGCAGGTGCAGGTTTGAGCCCTGACCTTTCCACATGAGATGAAGTTCTGCCCTCACACTTGCACTCAGCCAGCGGCGGACGGTCAGATGGGTTCTAGCCCCTTGCTGACCGCGGCACTGATGCGGTTGACGCAGTGAACAGGTGTTGGCCATCTCTGCTTTCAGTCCGTCAGGCGCCACAGCTAGGGAGGAGCCTGTGCAGGTCCTGGACGGCCACCACGGAGCCCTTTGCTCCCCTCCCACCTGCGAGGGGCCAAATGTTCCCACGTGGGTGTGTCGTGGTTCTTTTACCATGGAATCTGTGTGTGTCATTGGGCCCCCGTGAGGACTAGGATACAGCCATTCCTTCTGAATGCTTTTTTCGCTGTATTTTTCCCTGATGCATGGCTTGACACAGTGGAATGTTTTGGAAATATCTCCTGGAAACTTCTGGGCGAGTGGCCTCCTGAGGGCCACCTGTCCCCCCTGCTGCCACCACCCCGAGCCCCTGTGACATGTTTGGTACCCACCAGTCCTCTGCCTAGTCCACTGTTTTCCTGGTCCCAGAGGCCCTCCGTGTTGGGAGCTGCATGGAGAGACCTCCTGCTTGTCTGGTGAACTGGCATTTCAGTGGCTCCTGTGGCATTTGTCCAAGCAGAATTTGTCAAACACGAGTTCCAAAGGTTAATATTCTGTCCCAGAGACAGAAAGAAGTGGCAGTCTGAGGCAGTGTGTTCATTCCTTCTCAGTTGAGATAAAAGCTCGCAGTGTACAAAATGAACCATTTATGATTTGATAGTTTGGCTTGCTTTTATTTGAAAGGCAGATTCGTGGAGCGAGACCAATGGATTGGTCTCTTGTGGATGAATTGATGCCCCAGGTGCCTTGCTCAGACAGGGCAGGGCCAGGTGGAAGCCTGGAGTCGGGAATTGCGTTTGTGCGGGTCTCTCAGGTGGATGTGGGGACCCGGGGACTTGGGCTCTCTCAGGCACATCAGCAGGTAGGTGTGCGGGAAAGGCTGTACCTGGGCCTGGAGCCAGCCCCTAGCAAGCGCAGGGAACCTGTGCAGCAACACCCGCTCCTCTCTCCCTCACCTTCTTTTAAGATTTATTTATTTTTGGGCCCGGCGCGGTGGCGCAAGAGGTTAAGTCCTCGCCTTGCACGCCCGGGATCCCATATGGGCGCCGGTTCTAATCCTGGCAGCCCTGCTTCCCTTCCAGCTCCCTGCCTGTGGCCTGGGAAAGCAGTCGAGGACGGCCCAAAGCTTTGGGACCCTGCACCCGCGTGGGAGACCCGGAAGAGGCTCCTGGCTTCGGATCGGCATAGTATTGGCCCATTGCGCTCACTTGGGGAGTGAATCATCGGACGGAAGATCTTCCTCTCTGTCTCTCCTCTCTGTATATCCGCCTTTCCAATGAAAAATAATAAAAATAAATCTTTAAAAAAAAAGATTTATTTATTTTTATTGGAAAGTCAGATATACAGAGAGGAGGAGAGACAGAGAGGAAGATCTTCCATCCGATGATTCTCTCCCCAAGTGACCACAACGGCCAGTGCTGCGCCAATCCGAAGCCAGGAGCTAGGAACTTCCTCTGGATCTCCCACACGGGTACAGGGTCCCAAGGCTTTCGGCTATCCTCAACTGCTTTCCCAGGCCACAAGCAGGGAGCTGGATGGGAAGCAGAGCTGCCGGGATTAGAACCAGTGGCCTATATGGGATCCTGGTGCATTCAAGGTGAGGACTTTAGCCGCTAGGCCACGCTGCTGGGCCCTCCGCCCTCTCTCTCATAGCTCAGATGAGCTTGTGCTAGCCTGGGCACCATGTGCTTTTTTGCCTGTATTTTCATTTGATTTGAAAGTGAGGGCGAGGGCCTGGCACAGTGGCGCAGTGGTTAAGGTCCTCGCCTTGCACGCCCGGGATCCCATATGGGCGCCGGTTCTATCCCGGCAGCCCCGCTTCCCATCCAGCTCCCTACTTGTGGCCTGGGAAAGCAGTCGAGGATGGCCCAAAGCTTTGGGACCCTACACCCACTTGGGAGACCCGGAAGAGGCTCCTGGCTTCGGATTGGCATAGTATCGGCCCGTTGCGCTCACTTTGGGAGTGAATCATCGGATGGAAGATCTTCCTCTCTGTCTCTCCTCTCTGTATATCCGCCTTTCCAAGAAAAAAATAAGAAAAATAAATCTTTAAAAAAAAAAAAGAAGAAAGGGCAAGAGCGAGCTTTCCTCTACCCATTCACTCCCTAAAACCCCGTTGCATCTGGGGCCGGGCCAAGCCAAAACCCAGAGCCCGGCTCTCTGTCTGGGTCTCTGCGTGGCTGGCAGGCACGCAGCCTCTTGGGTGGGGTCTCCCAGGGTGCTGGATGAGAAACCGAGGAACCCTCCTTGAGGCGTCGGCATGCTTGCCCTGGAAGGTGTTTTACGGACCATGAAGTGCTGCCTGGATCTTTGGTGGTAGCACAGCCCGGAGGCGCCAGCTTGGCTTTCAGGATCTTTAAAATACCTGCTACTGTCCAGTGTGGGGATTCAGTGGACGTCCTTGGGGATGCCCAGGGAAGGAGAGAGAGCGGGAGAGCCGGGGCGGGGTGCCCTCCCTGCACTGCCCTTAGGCTTGGTTTCAGGACGAACTGAGAGAGGATCTTGGCCATACTTCTCAGTTAAGCAGGCACCAGGCTGGGCGTGGGCACACGGCAGGTGAAGGCACTTCCTGGGACACCTTTGTGGCACCCTGGAGTGCGGGGCACGTGGTCCTGATGCTGATGTGCACCCTGCGTGGGAGCAGGTGCTGCCTCGAGTCCTTGGGTTCCCGCCACTCATGTGGGAGACCTGCATGAAGTCTTTTGGCTTTTTGGCTTTTGGCTTTGCCCTGGCTTTTGGCTTTGCCCTGACCCAGCCTTGGCAGTCGTGGGCGTTTAGAGAGTGAGCCAACAGATGGAAGACCTCTGTTTCTCGCTGTTGCTCTGCTTGTCAAATAAAAAGCTGAAAGGAAAGAATCAAAAAGCCAATGAGCTATGGGGCAGGGGGGCATGGGGGCAGGGGTGACAAGCGTTTGGCCTGGTGGTGAAGAGGCCTGGGTCTGCTCTGGGAGTGTCTGGGTGCCGTGCCTTCCTCCAGCTCCTGGCTCCAGCTTCCTGCTCATGTAACCCCAGGAGGTGCGGCTCACCGCCTGCCATCCACATGGGACACCTGGATTGAGTTTCTGGGCATCGGGGGGAGGGAGTCGGCAGTTTGGAGATCACTGTTGCTCTCTGCCTCCCACGTTAAAAGAATCAAGTAAGGGGGTACGGAGTATGCTTTGCTGTAGAGAGATCTCAGAGAGCCGATTCTCCCAAATTTTGCAAGGACAGGAATGAGATCAGCCTGGGCCGGGAGGGGACATTTCCCTTCCTTGTGGGCCCTCTGGCCTGGGGTGGGCACCACTGACCCTTCTTCCCCTGCTTACAGGTGCCACCACTGCCGGATGGGAGTGCCCTGGAGTCTCGGATGCTGTTGGCACACACATCATGTCATCATGCATCTCTAGCCAGCGTAGCCGTGACCGGGCCGCCCTCCAGGATGCCCTGGGGGGCGGGGGCAACAGCGCCGAAAGCCAGAAGCCTTGTGAGGCCCTGCAAGGCCTCTCGTCTCTGAGCATCCGCCTGGGCATGGAGTCCTTCGTTGTGGTCACAGAGTGTGAGCCGAACCGGGCTGAGGACCTCAGCCTGGCCCAGGACCGACCCCCGGAGGCCAATGGCCCAGAGGCCTCATCAGGTCCACCCTCTGGGTCCCAGGCCCGACCCCACCTCTGCGGTCGCAAGCTGTCCCTGCAGGAGCGGTCTCAGGGAGGTCCGGCAGCCAGCAGCAGCCTGGACATGAACGGACGCTGCATCTACCCCTCCCTGCCCTACTCGCCCGCCAGCTCCCCGCAGTCCTCGCCGCGGCTGCCCCGGCGGCCGACTGTGGAGTCTCACCACGTCTCCATCACGGGCATGCAGGTGTGTGAGCTGGGCCCCTGGCTGCCCTCCAGGCCTTGGAGGGTCTCTGAGGGATTTAGGTGCAGCTGCTGAGGTGGTGGTGGGAGGGATTGGTCATGTCGTCACTTGGTTACTGTTCACTGCCAGACCAGCGTGGGACACCTAGGGTGCGGGCAGAACAGCCTGTGTGAGAGTGGACAGAACAGCTCCAGGGTGGGTGGGAGGCCGCAGCCCAGAGTTGCAGAGGCGGGGGCCCTGGTAAGCCCTCAGCCGAGAGGCCACCCCCCTGAATCCAGCGCTTGCCAGTCCTCTTGCTCCTGCCGTGAGCATCTAGGAGCTGGTTAAAGCTGAGCATGCCCCTCCCAGCCCCTGCTCAACTGCTGCTGCTGCCAGCTCACAGAACTCCGCCCGTGCCTGTCCTCCACGTGTTCCTTGGTCGCCCACAGCCTGTTCTCTCCTTGGGGTTCTGTTCCTTCAGCTCAGAGCCTCCCCCGGCCCCTGTGAACTTGCCACCTCTGCACACGCACATCCCAGAACAGTCGCCACCTCCTCTTGGATCCTCACATCCTACCCTCTCGGAAGCAGCTCCCTCCCTGCTGGCCGGCGGCTCTGCTGCCCCACAGTGCGCACTGGCGTCTGATTATCCGGGGGTGTGTGTTCAGCTGTTCGCTGCTTGCCTTTCTGCCCCCAGCTACTTTCAGGTTTACTGTGTTTGGAAGAGTGACAGAGAGACAGAGAGCTCTCCAATTTGTTGGTTCATCTCTAAATGGTTCCCTCTTCAGCGGCCAGAAGCTTCTTCCAGGTCACCCAAGGTTGCAGGGGCCCAAGCACTTAAGCCACCCTCCGCTGCTTTCCCAGGCACATGAGCAGGGAGCTGGGTTGGAAGTGTAGTGGCTCGGACTCGAACCATTGCCGGTGCTGCAGGTGGAAACAGCCAGCTATGACCCAGTGCTGGCCCCCTCCGCTGCTTTCCCAGGCACATGAGCAGGGAGCTGGGTTGGAAGTGGAGTGGCTGGGACTCGAGCCATTGCCGGTGCTGCAGGTGGAAACAGCCAGCTATGACCCAGTGCTGGCCCCTGAGCTAGAAGTGAGCTCCATCCCTGTGTCCCTGGGGCAGAGCAGGAGCCAGGAGACATCTGTTGGAGGCATGGGTGTTAAGTTTAGTTGGGAAAGAACTTGCAAAAGCGGGTCCGCTTTCCAAAGGGGCTACACTTCCGCAGGGGGGTAGGATCCAAGCAAGTGGAGATGGCTGCATGGAGAGCCCGTGTGGCATGGCATGGCATGGTGTGGCGTGGTGTGGCGTGGCCCAGGCTCAGGCCCGGGCAGGTGGCTGTGGGCAGCAGAGGACAGCTTGGGCTTGTGTTGGTTTAAGATAGGGCAGCTTGGAGTAACACTAGGAACTGTCACAGACGTGGGCTGCTTGTCCAGGCAGAGTCCCTTGTAGCCTGGCCATGCAGGCCCCGCATGGTTCTCAGCTGTCTGCAGGCAGGATGAGGACCCACAGCCTCTGTCTCCCTGTGAGTCCCCTTCTGGGAGCTGCACCCAACACCTGCCTACAGCACCCCTGGCCAACTGTGCAGCCTGGCAGAGTCCCGTCATGGGCCTTTCCTCACCACGGAGGGCTTTGAAAACCGGGCTGTGGAGTCAGCCTCGAGCTTGTAGGCAGTGGTGTGTGGGGCTGCCCTGGTCAGCGGGCCTCTCGGAAAGTGAAGTCTACAGCATTGAGGGGAATGGATTAGGAGGCAGCAGGGTCCCTGGGAGCCCACTCCCCTCTCCTTGTGTGCTTTGGGGTCTCTCCGGGTCTCAGGGGAGTACAGATGACCCTATTACCCACTGTATGGGCAGGGTTCTGTGCCACTGAGGCCTATGCTGGGGCTAAGCAGACAAACATGCTGACCGGGAGCTGTCCCAGTGACCTTGCTGAGAATAGAGGGAGTTGGGGGGCAGGGGTCAGTGTGATGTCATGGTGCCCCCGTTGGCCCCCTGCTCGTGGTGATACTCTGCATTGTTGGAGATGCATGTTACTGAGCCCACACCTGCAGGTATGCACCCTAGGGTGGGCAGTGGGTGGCCCTCAGGTTGTGGAAGGCTCGTGTGTTCTGCCTGTCGAGGCACCACGGGTGGCACTCGAGCTTCAGCACGTCTACAGCATGCTGTTTTTTTAAAATGTATTTACTTGAAAGTGCTCTCATCCCTCGGCTCTGATCCCTCGGCCCTGACTGTGCTGGCCGGGGCGGGGCCAGGCCGAGACAGGCTCCTGGGGCTTCACCTGGCTCTCCCTTACGGGTGCAGCGGCCTAAGCGCTTGGGCTGTCTTCCTCTACTCTCCCAGATCGTTAGCAGGGAGCGGGGTTGGAAGTGGCACAGCCAGGATTTGAACTGAAGCCCGTGTGGAATGCCAGTGTCACAGGTTTACTGCGCATGGTCTGTGAATGATCTTGTAAATATTCAAATGGCCTATGGCAGAAAAAAAAAAAAAAGATCCCCCACCCCTGGTATACACTGGACTAATACCTCAGTTCAGGGGGACAGAGCTGGGGGCAGGGTATTTGTACCCCCAGTCCTGGAGGCTCCCGTTGCTGTGGTCTTGATGGAATCCATGTGACAGGAAGCAGATGTGGGCCCAGCTAGGATTACACAACAATCTTCTTGGGAGAACTACTTTTGGGGGGCCCACCTGCTGAGGTTCCTCACAGTGCTATGAGGACAGGGACAAAGCTGTGAAGGCGTGGGCCACTGGGGCGCACGCAGCAGCCTGAGGACTCGGCAGGGGAAGCACTGGCTGGTCTGTGATACACGCTGTTTTGGGTCCTCGTCACGTTTCCGCTCCAGGTTTACTTCCCCTAAACTATGTAGGAGAATAATTGAAATGAAAGAGAGAGAATGAGAGAGAAGTATCCACTTTTCACGTGCTGGCCTGCTCCCCAAGTGGCCGTGCTGACTGTCTGGGCCAGGCCAAATCCAGGAATCTGGAACTCTGTCCAGGTTTGGCACTTTTGCTGCTGCTTTCCGGACTCTGAGCGATGGGGCTGGAACGGGCGCGGCAGGATGGGATGCTGGCCTTGCTGGTGGCAGCTTCCCCTGCTGTGGCAGAGGCAGCCCCAAAGTGGTTGAAGTTTTTTGTTGTTGTTTGAAGCTCTGTTTGTCTCTCGAGTGTAGACCATGACTCGAGCTGTGTGGCTGTCGTGATAGTCCTTGCACGGTGACCCTGCTCTCACACGCGTGCTCTTCCCCGGCTTTCCTGTGCTCACTGGAGCTTGCTTTGCCGGTCCTGGAATTGTGCAAGTGGGACTGTTTAGCATGTGCTCTTGTAAGTCAGCTTCCCGTGGGTGGCGCTGTCAGGCTGTTCCTTGCCGCTGCCCAGGGGTGTCCCATGGCAGGGGTGTCACCGTTGGCTTTCGCGTTCACCTGTGGGTGGATGTTTGGTTGCGTTCTGGTTTTTGACTCAGGCGCATCTTTGTAAACACGTTTCTTTTCTACAAGGGGGCTGTGTGTTGAATGGCTGTGTTGCTTGAGTGGTGGCAGCTGTGTGTTAAGAAACTGCTGGGGCTGCTCTGTAGCATAGTGCATCAAGCTACTGTCTGCAGTACTGGCATCCCATATGGGCACCGACACGTGTCCCAGATATTCCGCTTCTGATCCAATTCCCTGCCGATGGCCCGGGAAAGTGGCGGAAGATGGCCCAAGTGCTTGTGCCATTACACCTACTTGGGAGACTGACAGGGCTCCTGGTCCCTTAGTTCTGGCACTCCACCTGAGTCTCATGTGGGTGCAGGGGCCAAGCGTCTTCCTCTGTCTCCCCAAGCGTGTCAGCAGGGGCCGGATAGGGAGTGGGGCAGAGACTCAGGTGGAGGCTCAGGTGGGTGTTGCAGGTGGTGCTTGACCTGGCATACCACAGTGCTAGTCCCTCATTCAGTGGTTTGCTCCCTTGTGCCTGCAGCAGCTGGCCATTCAGCCCTGGGCTCCTGCAGGGCTGGCAGGAGCCCAGTTACTCCGATCTAGGTGTGCAGTAGCTGGCAGTTGCATTTGGGGTTCTAGCCAGGTACGGGGCCCAGAAACTGCAGTGTTGGGGTGTGGCACCTCAACTGGTGTCTTAAACTCTGGGCTAAACACCCTCTCTTTTATTTATTTTTTTTCTTTTGTGGGGGGAGGCAGTTTCTTTGAGAGGTGGAGAGAGCATTGAGGTTCAGCAGCTTTCCATGGGTTTCTCTTCCATCTTCGGCCTGCCTTTCAGTTGAGTGGCTGGTTGTCTGGTTAGTGAGTCATAAGGGTTCTTTGTAGATAATAGGTACTGGTCGTGGTCCTGGCCCCGGTCCTAGTGCCGGTCCCCGTCCCCATCCTGTTCCTTTGCCTTACAGGTGCTTGTGAGTCATTTCTCTCAGTCTGGGGCTTGCCTTTTCTTCTCCTTCTTTTTCTTTATGAACTTTTACTACTATTTTGAAGATTTAAAAAGAGCTATTTATTTTTATTTGAATTGGAGACCTGCTGATTCACTTCCCAGATGAAAACAATAACATAGCTATTATCTGGTTTTTGTTTTAAGATTTATTTATTTTTATTGGAAAGTCAGATACACAGAGAGAAGGAGAGACAGAGGGAGATCTTCTGTCCACTGGTTCACTCCCTAAGTGGCTGCAACGGTCGGAGCTGAGCCGATCCAAAGCTAGGAAGCCAAAGTCTCCTCTTGGTCTCCCACAAGCAGGGAGCTGGATGGGAAGTGGAGCATCTGGGATATGAACCAGCATCCATATGGGATTTTGGTACATGCAAGACGAGGACTTGAGCCACTAGGCTACCACATCTGGCCCTGGGCTGATCTTAAGCCAGGGACCAGGAGGTTCTTCTAGATGTCTCGTGTAAGCGCAGGATCCCAAGCACTTGGCCCATCCTCCACTGCTTCCCCAGGCCACAAGCAGAAAGCTGAATGGGAAGTGGAGCAGCTGGGACTTGAGCTGGTGCCCATGTGGGATCCCAGCGTTGCAGAGGGCAGCTTAACAGGCTGTGAGCGCTGTGCCACCTGCTGCTTTTGTGCGTGCACTAGCAGGGAGCAGCCTGGGACCTGTTACGCCACAGCGTCAGCCCCGATGACATTTATGATGAAGTGCCGTAGCAGGTCAGAGCGGTCACCATGGGGAGGGTGGCATTCGGTGGCTTTTCTGGGAATGGGAGTGACCTCTTGGGTTTGGCTCTTGGCTGTGGGTGGTGTGGCTCATGAGAAACTTCTCTAGTTGCTGCATTAGCGCTGACGGATGTCCCGTGTGTCCTGTTTGCCTTTCAGGACTGCGTGCAGCTGAACCAGTACACGCTCAAGGATGAGATTGGAAAGGTAAACGCCGGAGCCCACTGCTCCTCTGCCTCTGGGTGGCTCGGGTGTCCTGGAGGGCCTGCAGGGCCGGGTGTGGCCAATGAGGACACTCGGACCACAGCACAGATGGGGAGAGTTTTGTTGTCCATCTCAGGGTTTGCAAAAGCAGAAACTACTTTGTTGTATGTGTCTAAAAAAATCAAACATTTTGCTACAAAAATTCAAGCAAGCTTCCAAAGGAATCCAGTGTTGTCCTGGTGATGGTCCCAGTCCATCCTGGCTTCTTCCACCTGAAGGACTCTGCCTTCTGCTTTTCTCTTAGCCATAGAGCAGTGCCACCACAGGTGTCCCACGGGGGGTGACACCGTGGAGTGAGGTGGGCTGGGTGTAGGACAGCAGGGGCTTGTGTGGACCGCGTCTCCTGAGGCTTGGGAAGTGGGAGGCAGTGAGGCCGGGGCAGCTGGCCCTCGGCCCTTCCACAGAAGCAGCTGTGGGGCTGGATTCTTATGTCGGCTCAGTCTACATGCTGGCAGCTCCCCCTTTATAAAAGCCGTGAGTCTGGCTTAATGCGGTCAGTGGGCAGCTTTGACCGGTGACTTAGTGGTTTGCAACCCGCATGTCGGGGTCATCATGGTGCAGCTCGTAACTTCCTTGGGCCTCTCCCCTTGCTCAGGGCTCCTACGGCGTGGTCAAGCTGGCCTACAATGAGGATGACAACACCTACTACGTGAGTAGCCACCCTGTCCCCTTCCCCTGCTCCCGCCTGCCCCTCGCTTGCCTGTAGCCCTGACTCGCTCATTCTGTGACTGGCGAAGGGCACAGTGGGGAAGCTCCCATGGTTCATGAGTTTGACAGCTGACCGGGAATCTTGAGAAAGCAGTCCAGGATTGCAGGGACTGTGGAAGCCCCACCTGGACGTCATCAGGGGCTGCCTGCAGGTGGCAGGGCCTCAGGAAGGCCTGGTGCAGAAGGGGCTCTCCCTTTGCTGTCCCTCATCAGTTCTGTCTTCTTGCAGGCCATGAAGGTGCTGTCCAAGAAGAAGCTGACCCGCCAGGCTGGCTTCCCGCGTGAGTGTGACAGGCCGGGAGACAGGCAGAGCCCACCTGGTGGCGTCCCCTACCAAGAGCCACCAGACAGTGCCGGCCTCCCTGACTTCCTTTGTATTTGCTTTAAAATGTTTGTTGAGGTCATTTAGGCATTCCACCCAGGAGTGCATACCCATAAACAGTTAAAGACTGGGCTGCCACGTGACTAGGCACGCCCACTCCTGCCACATACCCCAGGGGTGGGAACTGCAGTGGTCACGTGCTGGCGATGGAGGGATCACCCTGCTTCCTGAGGGTATCAGGACCACTGCGGTATGCAGGGTTCAGTGGTGACTGCTCAGAAACGTGCTGGGAGTTGTAACCGGAGACCCGGAGAGCTGGGGCCGGAGGCCCTCATCCCCTCGTCTGTTGTGCTTCTCTGCCCAGGCCAGGTCATACACTTGGGCCACTCTGTTTTGGCTTCACCATTTTTGACATTTGCTTCTGCTTTTGCTTCCTTAAAGTACTCTTTACTTCCTGTCAGCTCAGGCTGCTAGTCTGCAGTGCCCTGCCTTGGGGTGAGACGGGGGTGTGGTCAGCAGCTGCTCGTGGCCTGCTGGGAAGCCCAGAGCAAGGCATCTGCTGACCAGGGGCCAGGGTCATACATTGTTGTCTTTTGTCTCTACGACCACAGGTAGCAGAGGGGGAGAAGGGGAGAATAGTGGCCAGGCTGCGCGTGCCAGCGTGTCTCAGGCCTCCCCAAGTCTCAATAGCCCAGAAGGAGCCTGGGTTGTGTCACTTGTTCCAGGCCTGCTGAGACCTACCTCTCTGGTGGCACGTGCAGCCATCCCCTGCTGAGGAGAGACCTCCTTGATGTCTGCTGCAGGTCGCCCCCCACCCCGAGGTGCCCGGCCAGCCCCAGGGGGCTGCGTCCAGCCACGAGGCCCCATCGCACAGGTGTACCAGGAAATCGCCATCCTCAAGAAGCTGGATCATCCCAACGTGGTGAAGCTGGTGGAGGTGAGGAGGCAGGGGTCGGGAGGAGGGCTTCTTCCAGGTCTCCCACGTGGGTGCAGGGTTTCAAGGACTTGGGCCATCTTCTGCTGCTTTCCCAGGCCACAGGCAGGGAGCTGGATGGGAAGTGGAGCAGCCGGGACTTGAACTACCTCGCAAGTGGGATGCAGGTGTTGTAGGTGGCAGCTTTACCCCTTAAAGCCACAGTGCTGGCCCCTAAGTAATATATGTTCATGTAAAATATGCTTGGAACAGAAAAAGCATAAGAGTGCTGTGGACGTAGGTTTTGCTGGATTTTCTGATGACTCCTGGTTCTCGGAGCTATGTCTGTGCTCAACCCGTTGGCCACTCCGTGTGTCCGGCAGTCTCTGGAAGTCCCCTTTGTGTTAGTAGACAATGAAAATGGAAAAGACCAGTGTTGCTGGGGACTCCCCCAAGGGATCCTGGGGACCTCTGGAAGCACCAGGTAGTGGTCTGCAAATGTGGAGTGGGGCAGCCGCTCCCCTGTGGGGGCTGGGAAGGCCCCCCTCGGAGAGGCAGACAGTATGTGGTGGCAGGAAGGGGCACTGGTAGGAGCCTGTGTGCCAAGGGCTGCAGACAGGCAGCCAGGGTACTCGGCCTTGGGTCTGACTTCCCCACAGGGTAGAGCAGGGCTCCAGGCCCCAGGCTGCCCGCTCTGGCCTGGCTCTGCCTCCCTGTCCCAGAACTTCTGTGCCATGGATTGCAGCTGGCTGGGAAGGCCAGTCTCCCTTGTCTTCAGCACCCTGTAGCTTCTGACCTCCCCAACCAACAAGGCCTTGTCCTGGCCTGTCTGTTGGTTACTCATGTTTCTTGAGTGCCTGCTGTGTGTCCTAGCCCTGGGGACCGCTGAGGTGGCCAAGGGGGACATGGTACTGTCGCTGTCCTTCCCTGCCTGGAGCGCTTGAGTCCGGATTGAGTTTCAATTTTCACGCTGCAGATAGCAGGCTTCGTGCCTGTTTTTCCTGGGCTGTGGGGGCCCTTGAGGCCTAGGCTGGGCAGATCTCAGTCCTGGGTGTTTCTCCCAGGCCTGTGGGCAGGCAGGCAGGTGGACGGCACCTCCTCCCTACTCACAGCTCTTTTCTTTCCCTCCTGCCACTGCTGCTGCCCGGCCCCTTGGCGTGGCTATGTTGCCAGGTCCTGGACGACCCCAATGAGGACCATCTGTACATGGGTAAGCAGCCCTGGGCGACCTTCCACAGGTGGCTGCCCGCCCACTGGGTGCCACAGTGAGCGTGCAGAAGGCCGCACACGAGAATGTACTGCTAGTTCCCTTAGAGCATCTGGGGTGGCCCACGCTCTTTTTTTTTTTTTTTCATTTTATTTGAAAGGCATTTTCAAAGAGAAAAGGAGAGACAGAAATGTTTGATCTACTGGTTCAATACCCAAATGATAGCAATGTCTGGAGCTTGGCTGGTTTGAAGCTGGGAGCAAGGAACTTCCTCTGGGTCTCCCATGCGTGTGGCAGGGTCCCAACCATCCTCGATTGCTTTCCCAGGCCACAAGCAGGGAGCTGGATTGGAAGTGGAGCAGCCAGGACTCAAACTGGCACCCATATGGGATACCTGTGTTGCAGGCATCAGTGGCCACATTCAACTGTTACTTTTAAAAACCTTAAAAATGGGGCCAGCATGATGGCCGAGTGGATAAAGTCTTTGCCTTACATGTGCCGGATTCCTTAAACTGGCAGGGAAAGCCTAAACACCGAGTCGACTCAAAGGAAACGTTTCATAAACAAGAACTGATGTGGCGTGAGGGCCAGTTGGTCAGCATCCAGGGCAGATGTGGCAAACCGGGCAGAGACCAGAGCGTCCGGTTGTTCGGGTTGGAGGGACCATCCTGGCTGACAGTGTTGCTCTCAGCCGCTGCACGTGCCGCCAGTACTGCTGTTTGCACCGGGCTGGTTATGACGCCACTTTTGCTTCCCTTCTCTCTGGCCTAATGCCTGGCTACGATCCAGAGCCACCCAGCAGTGCTGTGGCCACACAGGCTGCCTGCTCTGATGCAAACCTCCCAGGGCCAGTGACACCTCAGCATCCAGGCGTCCCTCACGTGTCTGTAGTCATGCCAGGGTGGACTGAACGCCGCTGTGTCACTGGTGTGCTGTGAGCACACCATGGCGCTGCACTGTCTTACAATAGGACCCAACAGCAACCTCGCTCCCATGATGGTATTTACAGGATGTGTTGAGTCCATCTAGAGGTTGCTGTGCAAGGTGAAGGAGGACAGCACTATCAGCAGCCAGAAGCTGGCCAGGATGGGTGTGGGGTGGGGAGCGACGTCGCTCCTGGGAGAATGTCCCAGTGAGCCGGCGCTGGGCTGGACTGTGGGCCTGGTAAGAATTAGGCTTCAGCTCTGAGCTCTGGGTGGTTAGTAGGCGTGTGGCCTAGCAGGACATTGCTGGGCTGCCCGTGGCCCAGATCCAAGTGCCTGAGATCAAGTCCAGAGTCCACACTGAGCCCTGACTCCCTGTTGACACGCACCCTGGGACGTGGCAGGAGGCAGCAGGGTGTAGCTCCAACCATTGGTCCCCTGAGAGCCATATGGGAGACCTGGATGGAGTTCTTAGCTTGGCCTCACCCAGTTGTGACCATGATGAGTATCTGGGGAGTGGACCAGAAAGTGGCATATCTGTGACAGTGCCTTGCTGCCTTTTTTTTTTTTTTCTTTTACTGTAAAGTCAGATATACAGAGAGGAGAAGAGACAGAGAGGAAGATCTTCCATCCATTGATTCACTCCCAAAGTGACTGCAATGGCTGGAGCTGAGCTGACCCGAAACCAGAAGCCTAGAGTCTCTTCCGGGTCTCCCATGTGGGTGTAGGGTCCCAAGGCTTTGGGCTGTCCTCGAGTGCCTTCCCAGGCCACAGGCAGGGAGCAGGATGGGAAGTGGGGCAGCCAGGCCACAAACCAGTGCCAATATGGGATCCTAGTGAGTACAAGGTGAGGACTTGGCTGCTAGGCTACCATGCCGGGACTCTGTTGCTGCCTTTAATTAAAGATAAAGTTAATTAAAAAAAAAAAAAAGATTGGAGCGTGTGACATAAGTTGAAAGCACGGTTTCCGGGCCCAGCGTGGTGGTGCAGTGGTTAAGGTCCTCGCCTTGCACACCCGGGATCCCATATGGGCGCCGGTTCTAATCCTGGCAGCCCCGCTTCCCATCCAGCTCCCTGCCTGTGGCCCGGAAAGGCAGTTGAGGATGGCCCAGAGCTTTGGGACCCTGCACCCGCGTGGGAGACCTGGAAGAGGCTCCTGGCTTTGGATCGGCATAGTATCTGCCGTTGCGCTCACTTGGGGAGTGAATCAATAGATGGAGGATCTTCCTCTCTGTCTCTCCTCTTTGTATATCCACCTTTCCAATAAAAAAATAATAATAAATAAATCTTTAAAAAAAAAAAAAAGAAAAAGAAAGCACGGTTTCCCAAGCTCTCCAAGCCAGCAGGTTCATGGTCAGAGTTCTCCCTTTCCGAGGCGGCTGATGAGGGGGTGCGGGTATCTGTGCTAACTGTGTTGCTGCCCAACCATAGCCATGTGCATGCAGGGAGGGACAGAGCAGCCTGTTGCAGCAGGTGGGCTGGCTTCCTCATGCTGCATGGATTATGGTGCCAGTGGAACGGTGGGTGGGAGGAAGGTATGAACATGCATGCAGCCTGAAATAATCAAGGCAGGGAGGGCTGGAGCTCCTGGCTGCAGCCGGCAGCTGCTACAGATCTGCCCTGCCTTGTGCCTGTGGTGCCCGAGGACCTGGCTGTGGCCAGAGGCCACAGGTTAGCATGAGTAAGACCCTGGCACCTCTGAGGCAGGAACAGAGATGGGCCCCGTCTTCTCTGCTGAGCTTTCTGTGGCCAGTGTTGAACAGGGTCCCAAGAAGAACATAGCCTGCCCTGGCCCTGGTCCTGTGCTCTCGATGGGAATTTAGCAAAGCGGGACCCTGAGTATCCAGGACTGGTTGGGCTGTCGCTCCTCTGAGATGCCACGCTCATTGCTACACTTTGGGCCATTTCTGGGGGAGACAGATGAGCTTCTGGTTGGTTCCCCAGATTAACTGTTGGCCTTCCCTTGGCCTTTTCTACAGTTTTCGAGCTGGTCAATCAAGGGTGAGTGTCCAGCCCCCGATGCGTGTGATGCAGCGAAGTTGAGGGAGACACCGCTGGCCCCACCGGTCAGAGAGGACAGGGCCGTGTGCCTGCATCCACTTGCATTTCACACGGGTGTTGGCCCTGTAGGCCTGTGATGGAGGTGCCCACCCTCAAGCCGCTGTCCGAAGACCAGGCCCGGTTCTACTTCCAGGATCTGATCAAAGGCATCGAGTACTGTAAGCGGGGCGCTGGGGTTGGCCGGCCCTGGAGTGGCAGGACGGGGCTGGAAGAAGGGTCGTGTGGGAGGAGGCTGCGGAGAGCCAGCCTGGGGCTGTGCCCCGACGGAGAACAGCAGTGCCGATCCTCCACCTGGGCTTGGCTGTGCGTGCCAGGCACTATTAGGGGCCCTGCTTGAGAGGGCTGATTGTACCCAGCAGCCCTGGGGTCGGGGGTGGGGAACAACGATGCTGTTGGCCTCCTGGAACTCAAGTTTCCTCATTGAGATAATGAGAGACACTGCACACAGGGCAGGACCCCACGCTGGGCACTCCCCTTCCCAATAACTGCCATCTTCATCGTCTTCATCCTCATCCCAGCTGGGTCTTCCAGATGGCGGCTTGTTCTTTGTTAACTGCTGGCTAACGCCCAGGCAGGCTGGTGCCCAGGTCTGCTTTGTGGCAGACCAGCTTGGTATAGCTGTTGTTGGCTCGCTGAATGAATTTACACTTGATCCTTGCGAGTCTCCTGGCTCCTAGCTAGCTGGGAGCCAGCTCCACCACCCCAGTTCCTGTGTGCTGTCGCCTGGGATGTGGGCAGTGGCGTTACGGTGTGGTGGTTGAGTTTCCATGTTTATTTTTGAGAATGGGATTGGGAACTTCCCCTCGCAGCATGTGGGTGCCCAGCAGCTGTGCAGGAGGGGGTGTGGGGAAAGGCCCGAGGCCCCGCAGAGGTGCTCATGGCTTCCTCGGTGTCCTCTCTGGTGCCCGTGTCCACTCCCCGGCCAGTGCACTACCAGAAGATCATCCATCGGGACATCAAACCTTCCAACCTGCTGGTCGGAGAAGACGGGCACATCAAGATCGCCGACTTCGGTGTGAGCAACGAGTTCAAAGGCAGTGACGCGCTGCTGTCCAATACTGTGGGCACGCCCGCCTTCATGGCACCCGAGTCACTCTCTGAGACCCGCAAGATATTCTCTGGGAAGGTGGGTGTGGCCACTTGACAACCCGTGGAAGACCCCTTGGATCACAGGGAACCCATTTGTCTCTGGCTTCCGGTTCTGTTTTCCTTAATGTATCCTCCATAGCAGAAACCAGCCGCTCCAGACCCCCCTAGGAGCATGCCCATTCCTGAACTGGTCCAGCAGAGACCTTGGCCTGGTATGGGTCATGTGTCCATCCTTGAGTCAGTCACGGGCTGGGGGAAGTCGTATCGTCTTTGGCTAGACCTGGGTTATGTGCCCACTCTGGAGGCTGATGAACAGGCTCAGCCACCCCCTTCCTAGGCTGGGACAGGGCAAGCTGGAGGATTAGATGCTGGGCAGGCAGGAGTGGCCAGTGCCTCTGCTGCCCCTCAACCTCTCACGTGAAGCCCTCTCCCCTCTCTGCAGGCCTTGGATGTGTGGGCCATGGGCGTGACTCTGTACTGCTTTGTCTTCGGCCAGGTAACTGGGTGGGCATCCCTCCTGACTACTCCCAGGGGTCCCAAGCCAACTGGAAGGTCTGTTGTTTTATTCCTGCCAACAGATCTGACAGTGGAGAGGGCTGCTCCCTCTGCTGTGCACATCTGCATTATGGCAGTCCTATCTGTGGCACAAGGACCTGTTAAAGAGATCGGCAGAGGCTCTGGAGACTGTAAAATGCTGATAATCCAGTCTGGGCGAGGGCCTTGGCACCTCCACCCATCCCTGAGCCCAAGGCAAGCATCGCTAATCGATACTTGCACTCCTTCCCCCTGAGCTTGCTGCTCTTCTCCCTCAAGTGTCCTCAGGGCAGGGTTGCATTCGGCAGCACTGATTGGGGGAGTGCTGTCTGCTTGCTGTTTTATTCTTGTTTGGGTAGCATTAATAAAAAAAGATTTATTTGTTTATATTGGAAAGGCATATTTATTGAGAGAAGGAAAGAGAAAGATCTTCCATCTGCTGGTCTACTTCTCAAGTGGCCAGAGCTGAGCCAATCCGAAGCCAGAAGCCTCAAACCTCTTCCCGGTCTCCCACGTAAGTGCAGGGTCCCAAGGCTTTTGACTGTCCTTGAGTGCTTTCCCAGACCACAAGCAGGGAGTTGGATAGGAAGTGGAGCAGCTGGGACATGAACTAACGCACCCCCCACCCCCCACCCACACACACACAAACAAACAGGATACCTGCTCTTGTAGGTGAGAGATTGGCCAGTTGAGCTATTGGGCCGGCCCCAACAATTGGGAACTTTCTAACTCTGAATCTCAGTCTGGTTATGTGAGCAGTGTGGGTGTGTGTGAGTGTATGTTCCAGGTCAAGGGAAGCTTAGCCACTGGGCTCACGCAAAACCAGCCAGCAAACTGGGTTGGGAAGCACTGAGGCGTATAAGAGAGAGCTGTCCTTCCACCATGTGATTCCACCACGACTGGTGGTTACCTGTGCTGGCTTCACAGTATGCTGGCCCACTCCTCCATTCCTCCCTCCTTCCATTTTATTTATTTTAAAAAAAATGATATGGACCCAGCACAATAATCTAGGGGCTAAAAATCTCGCCTTACATGTGCCAAGATCCCATATAGGTGTCAGTTCTAATCCCAGCAGCCCTGTTTCCCATCTAGCTCCCTACTTGTGGCCTGGGAAAGCAGTCAAACATGGCCTAAAGCCTTGGGATCCTATTAAGTCCCAAGCATGGGAGACCAGGAAGAGGCTTCTGGCTCCTGGCTTCGGATTGGCTCAGCTCCAGGTGTTGTGGTCACTTGGAGAGTGAATCATCAGACAGAAAATCTTTCATCTCTGTCTCTCCTCCTCTCTGTATATCTGCCTTTCCAATAAAAATAAAATAAAACTTTAAAAAAAATGATTTATTTTGGGGGCCAGTGCAGTGGCATGCAAGCTAATCCTCCCCATGATAGTGCTGGCATCCCATACAGGCACCAGTTCATGCCCTAGCCGCGCCACTTCCAATCCAGCTCTCTGTGGCCTAGGAAAGCAGGAGAATGGACCAAGTCCTTTGGACCATGCCTCCGCGTGGGACATGCAGAAGGAGCTCCTGGCTCCTGGCTTTGCATCAGCTCAGCTCTGGGCCGAGTGGCCACGTGGAGAGTGAATGAGCAGAAGGAAGTTGTTTCTTTTTCCCTCTTTCTCTATAAAGTCTGCCTTAAAAAACAAAATAAAGATTGGCTTATTTCAAAGGCAGAGTGACAGAGAATTTTCCATCCACTGGTTCACCCCCACCCCCATGGCCGCTGTAGCTAGGGCTGGAACTTCTAGGCCCTGGAACTACTCCCTGTGGGCCCCGATGTCAGTTTCTCCTGCAACCCATGTGGTGTGGCACGGCACAGGCAGACCCTGAAGGGCAGCTGTGGTGGTGCCCGCTGACGCCTGGGCTGTCCCTGGCCTCTCTTGGCAGTGCCCATTCATGGACGAGCGGATCATGTGCTTGCATAGCAAGATCAAGAGCCAGGCGCTGCAGTTTCCAGACCAGTGAGTATGGCCTGCCTGTCCCGGTCCTGTCCCTGCCCAAGGCTCCGGCAGCCTGTGCAGCTGTCCCCTCCGCCCCCACTCCCACCCCCGACCCGTGACATGATACGTGTCCCCTGCCACATCTAGGCCCGACATAGCCGAGGACTTGAAGGACTTGATCACCCGTATGCTGGACAAGAATCCCGAGTCACGGATCGTAGTGCCGGAAATCAAGGTACCTGGGGGTCCCTGCGGGCCCCAAGCTCCGGCACCAGCAGCAACGTCTGTGTCCAGGGCTTGGGATTATCTGGCTCGGCCCACCACACCCCCGCCTCTGCAGCTCTACCCACGTCCTCCTGGGCCCCGCGGCCCTCCTGGCTGCTGGCAAGGGGGTAGGGGAGAGGATGTGGGGGTTGTGTTCGCTGTGATTGTTGGAGTGGGATCCCTGAGCAGCCGGCGGGCGGCCTGGGCTTAGGCCAATGGTTTCCATTCCCGACACACCAAACCTGGGGCTTCTCGACTCACGCCGATCCTCTGGGTCCCTGTGGGAGCTGTGGACCAGGCCCTTTGGGAATTGGCCATGAGGTCATCATAAAGCAGCTCAGCCCCGCCCTTTCCGGCTCCACCTGCTTGCAGAAACACTGCAGGGAGGGACCCTACCCCACACCCCTGACCAACTCCCCTACCCCCGCTCAGCCCTGCTGACGGCCACAGGCACATGTCCAGTCCTTGAGAAACGCAGTGATCGGCTCTGGGACCTGGCTCAGGAGCACTGGGGGCACCTGCAGGGGGGTAGCACCCCTAAGAGTTGTGAATTAGGGGTAGGGGTGGCAGACCCTGGCCTGGGTCCTCTGCCTCAGCCCGCTTCCCTCTGTGAAGTGGGGAAGAGGCCACCTGCTCTGAGATGAGCCTTCCAGGGGTCAGAGATGGTGGCCAAGTGAGCATTGCTACCCGGGCAGCGGGGTGAAGCCGATGCCAGATTCCAGGGGCTGGACAGAGAATCTGCCCTGCACCCATTGCAGCCCCAGAGCTCCTGCCTTCTCTGCCCCTCTCTCCTTCCCTGCTCTGCCCATCTCTCACCTGCCCTTTATTGGCTCTCTCGCCCGCCTGACCACAGGCTCATGCCTCTCCCCCGCATACCGCATGCCCTTCTCAGCCCTGCTCGCTGCCAGGGCTTCTGGGGAGCAGGTGCCGCCTGCCCCTCACCCCTCCCTGTTGTTCGTTGAAGCTGCACCCCTGGGTCACGAGGCACGGGGCCGAGCCGTTGCCGTCTGAGGATGAGAACTGCACATTGGTGGAGGTGACCGAAGAGGAGGTCGAGAACTCGGTCAAACACATTCCCAGCCTGGCGACCGTGGTAAGGCGGGCGAACCAGCAGCCGAGAGCAGGGCCGGCCAGCACCGGGCTGGGGCACAGGTGGCCGCGTGGGGCCTGCCCGGGCCTCTGGGCTTAGTGGCACGTCATGCCTGGGGGCTCCTGCTTCTGAGCCAGGTCTGAGGTTCCCAGGAGTGGAGGTGGGGAGGGAGCAGCCACTTTGTTGAGTCCCCACCTCCCCGAGCATGTGGGGGAGAAGGGCTGACAGGAGACCGAGGCAGGAGCCAGAGCCTGGGTCACGGAACTGGAGTCACCGCCAGGTGGATCCTCAGCATGTCCCGGGCAGAAGTCTAGCTGTTCTCACATTTGCCCCGGTCTGGAATTTTGGCCCCGTTCCTAAGGAAGCAGTGGCAGCTAGAATGGGGAGTCCTTGGGCCTCACCTTGGGGGCTCCAGGAATCAGCCTGTTGCCAAGCCCCTTCCCAGGAGGGCGTCTGAGTCTAGGAGGTGCCAGGGTGACAGACCTGCGAGCCACTTCCCGCCCCCGGACACTGTGAGTGCCTGGGTGTATTTGGTGAGCGAGCACTCCCCTTGGCAGGTAGGCAGACAGGTAGGCCCCGGGCTCTGGAGAAAGCTGAGAAGTTGTCAATAAAGTGCCCAGCACGATGTTTCAGGAGCCTAGACGCCCACATCTCCTTCACAGCTTTGCACTGTTCCCCACTCCCTGCACCCCAACACTTGCTCCTTCAGAACCCAGGGCCTTCGTCCCGATCTTCTTCCTCTTCCGCCTGGGGTCTCTGCATGACCTTCTCTGTTTGACTCACTAACAGTGCTCCCCCATCCCCAGTCCCGCGTCCCTGTGTGTGCCTGGGTGTGGGGTCGTCTTTGGCAGGCCTGGGAGGGTCTTGTCCTGAAGAAATGCGTCCATTCCCCCTCCCCCCACAACCCTTGGGAGTAGCTGTTACAGTGATGCGGGTGATCTCTCAGGCTTGTGCTGGGAGCAGGGACCGCGTGATGAGCGAGGGACCCGGAGCTATTGGCGAGGCCACCTGTAGCACAAGAGGGGCTGTGGGGTGCACCCCTGCTGGAGGGAGAGAAGTGGGGGTACATGCCCAGCTACGAGAGGAGGGTGCCCAGTTTGCATTGTGCCCTCTGGTGGGAAAGAGCTGAGTCCTCCAGAAGCTTTCGCAAAGCCAGGGCTGCTGACAACAGGGCAAGGTGCAGGGAGGACCCCACAACGGTCTTGAGTGCTAGGACTTGGGATGTGCCTACAGAGTAACTGTTGCGAAGCGGATGATTCTGTTGCATTTAGTGTACAGTTTCTGTCTGGGCAGTTCTTAAAACCCTTCCCAGATGCTGACCCACCTGCTGGCTCTCACCCTGCCAGAGGTAGTCAGGGGAACCACCTGCTGGAAAGCCATCTTTAGCCATTGCCTTCTGCTTAGCACCCTGTCTTCCAGTCCCTGCCGGTCCCCTCTGTAGCCAGTGTCTGTGCTGCCTGCCTTCCCAGGACCGGCCCCCATCCTTCAGGGACCCTTCCCCACACACAGTTTTTCAGCTGACGGATCCTTGCTGCTGTCACTTGGCCGTAAATTGGGGTTTCTTAAAAGCGGCGGCCGGAAGCATCACCCTTGCTCACTCCCCAGCTCCAGAACTAGCCAGGGACCCAGACAAGGGAGGGCGTGAAGGAGAAGCTGGCCCCAGGAGAGGGACTGTCTCGGCCTCGGGCAGGCAGCAGCCCCAGCCCAGGGCACATGGGTAAGGCCAGAGTCTCCCAGACTCAGAAGGACCTGTCGGCCCACTGAGCCAATTTGTTACCACTGAGACCTGGCCATCCTGTCAGCTCAGCCCCAGAAGCTGTTTCCTTCTTGCACTGGGAGGTGACGGTCATTCTCCTGCCTTAGAGATCTGCCTGGTGGATCCTGTGGTCTTCCCCAGGGAGTCACCAGGGATCCAGAAAGTCCACCCCGAGTCTGTACACAAGAGAGATGGGAAGGTCTCCTGTGGTCAGCTACCTGCACTGCAGTGTGTGTGTGTGTGGGGGGGGGCTGGCTGTAGCAGCACAGGCTCTGTGACCAGTGCCCATCAGCAGGACAGTAGGTGCAGGAAAGGCAAGAGCTGAGCAGGCATGGGGCCCTGGCATAGCTGTGTGTGGGTGGAGCTCAGAGTTGGTGCTGAGCGGCAGCAGGTAAAACCCAAAGGCTGCACTCTGATTCGGTCGGGGCGAGGGCAGGGTGGAAGCCAGCAGTGACTGTCGCCTTGTCTGGGGTGACCTGAGTACTCCAGTACTGAGATGCAATAGTGGCAGCGAGGGCCAGGGACCGGATGTCACTGCGTTGTGCAAACTCGGGGAATTTTAGTTGTGTCTTATTTGTCCCCGGAATCATCCTAGAAGAGCGGCACTCTGTTCCTCCCTGTGTGTAGGGGGCAGGGTGGATAAGCAGGGTCCACTAGCAAAGAGGCTGATGTGGGCTGCTGTGCCAGGAGGGCACTGCTAGTCATGGCTCAGGTGGCCGTGAGCACGAGATGGCCAGCAGCCACACTGGGCAGGGCAGCCAGTCAGGGTTTGATGGTCCCAGGCCTTCTGCCTGAGCCTGAGGAGTCTGGAGCTATGGGCAGTCCTGAGGAAGGGAGTGGCCTGGTCAGGTTCAGGGCTGGCCTTGGCTGCGTGGGTTGGAAGCTCTCCAAGTGTGTTTCCTCGGGGCCTGGGGAGAGGGCAGAGGCAAGTGGTGCTTGGCACCAAGGGTACAGGACAGTCAGCCTGAGTGCTGTCTCTCTCCTCTAGATCCTGGTGAAGACCATGATCCGCAAACGCTCCTTTGGGAACCCGTTTGAGGGCAGCAAGCGGGAGGAGCGCTCGCTGTCGGCGCCTGGGAACCTGATCACGTGAGTGTCCACAAGGAGGCTGGAGGTAGGGCAGTCAGTGACTGCCTGGATGGGCCATTCTGCCTGGGCCATCCCTGGAGGGACTCAGAAGGGACCTGCCTGGCACCCTGGGGACATTGAGGGACTTGGTTTCACCCAGGCTGGGCTCGGCCCATTCGTGCAATGGGGAGTCTTACTTCTCCTGTGGGCCGTGCATCCTTACTGGGGGACATCTCGACACACTAAGGTTCCAGTGCTTGGAGGATTTCTGGCCGCATGGTGGCTGTATGAGGAGGGGGTCCCCCTGCCCCCTGCTCATTGAGACAGGCTCTGGGGTCTGAGTGTTCCCAGATGGGGCGGACATCCCACAGCTCCCAATGGTCCCGTCTCAACTTCCCTTTTCCCTCCAGCAAAAAGCCACCCAGGGAGTGTGAGCCCCTGTCTGAGTCCAAGGTAACGCCATCTGCCTGTGCTGTGGCCTCCGCTGGGGCTGGGGCTGGCTGCAGGGCAGGGGGAGAGTGTGCTGCCAGCCCAGGTCACTGTGTCCAGCCCACCAGGGACCCCCACACTCAGGGCTCAAACCAGGGGCCTCGAGAGGCTTAGTTCTCCGGGGTCGGTCATGCATGTGGGCGGGCTGTGGGTGCATGGCGCTCTGCCCGCCTCTCCATGCACGTCCCAGGCCCCAGCACTGCCTGTCGGCTGAACGCACAGAATCTGACCATGTACCAGGCATGACGCCCTGCCGAGGTTCACCTGCTGCCACCGTTGCCCCTCTCAGATCTCGGGATGCAGGAGTCCTCCCACCTGAGCAGCTCCCAACGGGCCAGCCTCCTTCTGGAGGCGTCCACCGGCCTTGTCCACACCTCCTAGGACCAAGAGCACATTTGTCCCTGGGAGGTGCTGTGGTGCCCCCAAGTGGCTATGGCAGGGAGTTGATCCCGAGAGCCTGACCTTTGGCTGGGAGATCCAGGCAGACATTCCTTACTTTCCGCGAAGTAGCCTGGTTCAGCTGAAATATCACTCATGGGCACCCACGCACACATACGCACGGGCAGTGCTGGCTCAGGGTTTTAGCTGTTTCACAGCAGCCACACATCTGTCAGCACCATCGTTCTCATTCGTCTCAGAAGGACCCAGTACCCCCTGAGCCAGCCCTTCCCAGCTACCCCATTCCACAGTACCCACTTAATTCACTTTTGGTGTTCTGTGAGTTTGCCCATCTTGACATGGGATGACACAGCTGTGGACAGTGGCGTGTAGGTGTTGGTTAGAATTTGCCTTTGAGGGCCGAGTGCATTGGCTGTCCATACCAGGGTCCCGTGGGAGCAGCCCTTGCCCTTGTGCCGCTGGGAGAGGCCTTGCCCTCCAGAGTGGAGTTGGGGAAGCAGCAGTCAGTCCCCCAGCCGGGGGGGGGGTCTCAACCTGTTCCCAGACGTGATGGGGGAGGGGGCTCCCTGCTTGAGCAGTGAGCTTCCCAGGGTGAGGTGGGCAGTGCCAGGCGGAGCTAAAGTGCTGGCCTTTGCCTCAGCCTCTGTCCAGCCAGGACCAGCTCTGTTGTTTATTTTCTCTTTTCGCTGTGATCAAAACTGCGAGCACCCCCCGCCCTGCAACGGCCTGTGAGCAGCCCAGTGGACTTGCGGTTTTGTGATGCCCACACCTTCCATTTCAGCCATACCCGGTGACTGTGGGAGAGCTTGCAGAGCTGTCAGGGCTTCCCTCCGCCAGGGACAGCTCCCCTCTGGCCAGGGGATGACAGGCAGCAGCCCCGTGTCCCCATGGAAGGGAGCACCTGATGGATGGCGACAAGGGGCACGGTCCCTCCTACAGAGCTGTCCTTTGTCTCTCCACCTGCCACAGGCACATCTTCAGGGACATAAGGACCCTCATCCTTCCTCCCTCTGGGCTGGCTGGCCTTTGGTCCTGGGTGACCACCAGTCACTGATGACAGTCACTTCTCATGGCCAGCATCTCCCAGATGCCTTGTCCTCCAGGATTTAGGGTCCGGTGACCCAAGACAAGTGGAGTCGGGAGACCTAGGAAACCTCAGAGGGCAGGGCCCCTGGGTGGAGTCCCCATTTCCTTGGCCTCCCCACCCCCACTTGCCTCTGCTCCTTGGGGTGTGAGCCGCAGCTGTACACCTGTTTTTATGGTTCTTTGCTGATTTTGGCAGAAAATGCTGGTCTGACACTGGAGAGGGCATGCAAGAGAAAATGGGAAGAGGGTTGATTCTGAGGGGACAGGGTGAGGTGGCTGGGGCTGCAGAGCAGCGCCCCTGGGCACAGGTTGCCCATATGTGGGGCAGGCGGGTGGTCAGAGTCTAGCTGTCTTCGCTGAGCCTTAATGCCACTTTTCTGTTCACCGAGCAGGAAACAAGGCAGCGACGACAACAGCCTTCGGGGCACCGACCTGCCCCCCGGATTGTGAAGGTGCCCGGGCCCCGTGTGGGGAGCTGGGAGGCCTCGGCCCCCGACTGCCCTGCTCGCATGCACCCGTTGTGGCCCGAGGAGGCAATGGAGCCCCAGTAGTTGCCCCCGGACCACTCAACCTCGCATGTGTGGCCACGATGCCCCGCACGTCCGGAGTAGCATGCCCTCCGGACCCCGGGCACGTGTCCCTGACTGTCATCTCTGGTTCCCCATTCTTTTCTTTGTTGTTTTAAAAGAGGACAAAAAAAAAAAAGGTGGGGTGGGATGGGGGACTGGATTCCAAGACGTCTGCCTTGGCTGCTGGCTGGCTGGATGGGCAGGTGGAAGGAGTCGCAGCCCCCAGCCCATGGGCCTGTGGGAGTGTATGCTTTCTCGAGTGTTTTTATGCGAAAAACCCTTGTGCCGTGAGTTGAGAACCGTGTCTGGATCAGATGGTGTGGTGGGTGGCAGGCGACTGCGTGAAGAGAGGTTGTGGTTGGATCTGTGTGCCTCCCAGACAGACCCCAACCCTGGGGCGGTGAGCTCCAGGAGCAGGGAGGCTGGACCTCCATAGCTGCAGGGAGTGTGGGTGCCACTTCTTTGCAAGGACTTGGCCAGTTTTCTATGGGTAGGATCATGGTTGGGAACGCAGGAAAGGTTTGAAGTGTAGTTTGTTCTTGAAGCGGGTTTGCAGAAGGGCCGGAAAGATGCGTTTATTTGCAACAGGCAGTCTGCATAGGCTCCTGGGGGAGCTGACTGGGCTCCAGTCACATCATTTTTTTGTTCAATCACAAAGACTTCAGGGTGAAGCCCCTATACTTCCATGTACATTACATGGCTTACCGTGACGTGGACAACAAGACCCTGTCCATCTCCTACGCAGGCTGAAGGCCGGGGCTCTCCCAGAACACAGGTGGTGGCTTCTGCGTGTGATCACACATCTGGCCAGGGATCCCAGGCCTGCATAGCAGCAGCTTAGCTTGGCCAGGCCCTGTGCATTCTCGAGGCTGCTCCAGGACATAATTCAGGCAGTTCCCTTTGTAGCCAAAGTGTGCGAAGGAGGGACTGGCCTTTTCGATGTCTGGCTGGTATCTGGGGAGTTAGTTGGAGGATCAGGTGTAACGCCTTCCAGACGCCTTGCCGGTGAATGTCACACCGAAGGGGGAGGGAGGAGGACCTGGTTTTCCTGTACTGGTTTCAGCATGTGATGAAGTGTCGCTGCCTGGGCTCAAAAGATCCTGATTTCTTGTAGCTGGGGACTGAAGTTTAGGACCCCTCCCCAGCCTGTTGCAGAATTCCAGGTGCTCATGGCTTGCCTAGTCCCCCCCCCCCCTTTGGGATGTGCAGGATTAAGTTCTTGCCTGTAGTTTAGCCAGATTTCTTTTTGCTGTTGCACAGGCAGACAGGAATGGAGTGCTGATTCTGGAGAGTGAGGGACACACCACTGGGCAGACTGGCAGGGGCAGCTGACTGTCTACTGTCTCTTGTTGCCCAGCGCCCAGCAGATGCCTGGGGAGCTCACTCCTCCCACAGCCTGTGAGGTCTGGGAGATTTGCAATAAGCACTGTGTGGGGTTTGCAGCCAGACACTCGGCAACTCTGTGCAGGCCGGAGAGCCCCTTGCATTTGCAGCACGGCTATAGCATAGGTGCTGCCACCTTCCCCTCCACAGTGGCTTCCATTAGAGGTTTCCCTCATGGGGAGCCAGCAGTCAGGCGGCTGGATTGAGGGAGGTGTATGTTGATGGCTTGTCTTCACCAGTGCCAAAGGAAGCTGCGGGAAGGAGGGAGAGCCATGGCTCCCACCGTCAGAGCACAAGCACAGACCGGCTACAGCCAGCCCCGGGAGGAAAGGGGAGAAGCCGGTGGGAGCTTGCCTCAGAACCCACTGGGCGTCAGTGGCCTCAGAGGGTGCACAGACCCTGCACCTACCTTGCTTTTCCTCTGCTCCTTTCCTTCCCCCTCTCTGTCCTTCCTGCAGGTTGCCAGGGGCTTCTGGAAAGCCCTGTGGAGCCCCTTTCTGGTCCTTTGGGTGACTGAAGCTGTCTGCCGCTGTGGACCTGGCCTTGACCTTGCAGCCAGGCTCAGTTCCACAAGCAGAGCACCTGGGTGTTCAGGCGTGTGGGCTAGGTCTGTCCTCCCACCTTCCCAGGGGTCCTTCATAGGAACCCCAACCTCTGCTGCCTTCCAAGGTGCTAGGGGAGGCTGGGAGGTCGTCGGTTCCCCCTCCCCTTGCGCTGCAGGGCCGGCGGGTCGTGGGGCTGCTCACTTCCCCCGTGTGTGGTTCGTGCGACGCCCCCTGCTTCTGTTCTGTGGCCGACCCTTTCTACTATGCATTTTCCTTTGATCAGGTGTAAAAAGTTAAATACTGTGTATTTATCACTTAAAAGTACATGAACTTAAACGTAAGCCTTTGGTGTTTTTCCACAGACGTTTCAGCTTCTCTGTAAACTTGAAATAAACAGATGGCAAAACTCTGCGAAGCCTCGGCCTCTGGGGTTTTTGTTGCTGGTGGCTGATCAGTTCTTGTCCTGCGGACTGACCACAGGGCCAGGTGTTCACATCTGTACTCTCTTCCTTGCAGCGCATCTTAGCACTTGGCAGCTCAGAGGGTGGTTCTCGGACCAGCCTGTGGGCAGCAGCCCCCAGGAGTGGGTGAGAAATGCAGTCCATGGCACCCATCAGGTGCACAGGATGTGTGCCTGTCTCCCCATATGCCTCCTACAGTGTAAGTGCCATGCGGATGGTTGTCACGCTGTGTTGTTGTAGCAGTGATGACCAGAAAAAGGGTCCCTACAGGCTTTTCTTATCAAGTGTTTTCAACCCACACTTGATGCGCGGGGTGGGGTGGAGTAGTGTCAGATGTCATTACAAGACGCTAGTGGACAGCTGAGTGGCACCTGAAGTGGCCAGGCCTGTCACAGGTCACATCAGCTGCAGGGTGGTGCTCATTTGCAGGTCATGGCACATGAACTGAGGCTCAGAAGAATTTTAAGTCGGCTGTCTGGGGCTTGGGCTCGTCTTCAAAGCCCCCGAACCTCAGTGGTGTTTTTGGGAAGTCTGCATCCGGGGCTTCTCCAAGGCCAGAGGCCAAGGGCTCCCTGCACTTCCAGGGTGACCACAGCAAGTTGCCTCGCTTGCTTGGCTGCAAAATTGATTCTTCCTGTTGCTGGCTAGGTGTGAAAGAGTCACACTCCACTGTAGTGCCAACGCACCCTGTTGGTAGTGGCTGTCAGCCATCGGGAGCTGAGAGTTCCTGTTGCAAGAGCTCACCAGAAACCTAATGAAAGCGGAAAGGGGTGCACACAGGGGCAGTCTTGTGCGGGCCTTTGGGGGTGCCTGAGTCTCCCTGAAGCCCACCTGTAGGTGTGAGATTGATGGGGACATAGCTGAAGGCAAGACAGCTCCCTCTGTCCCTGTGCCCCCCGCACCTGTCTGTCACCAGCCGGTCTTCAGGCACAAACTTGGGGAAGAAGGCCAGAGGCTGCTGTGCTCCAGTGGGGGCCGGCGACTTGCTCCTTAGCCTGCCAGGGGAGCACTGTAACAGCACCTTATGGCTCTGCTGCGTCCGTGACCAAAGTTTCGGGTACACTGTGTGCTTGGTGAGGATGCTCTCCATTCCAGGGTGACACCCGGACCTCGTATCCCCGACAACAAAACTGGGAAGCAGCTGGCCATGTCGTCATGGCCGCACATTCCAGCTGCACCTGACCCATATGTTCAGGTGAGCATTTGATTTTTCTTTTAGTGATTTGAAAGAAAGGCAGTTACAGAGAGAGAGAGAGGCCAACTTTCTATCCACCGACTAGGGCTCGGCCAAGTCAGCTGAAGCCAGGAGCTTGGAATTCCATAAGGTCTCCAGTGTGGGTGCAGGGGCCCAAGACATTGAGCCATCCTCTGTTACTCTCCCAGGATCATCGGCAGGGAGCTGGATTGGAAGTGGAGCGTCCAGGGGTGACTGGAGCCATTGTGGGGTGCTGACATTGCAGGCCATGGCTTACCCTGCTGTGTTAAACTACCGCTAGGTGGCCATTTGCCTGGCCATAAAAATCAGAGCTGAGGATTGATCTCCAGGCACCCTGTCTCAGAACCCAGATGTCTCCCTTCAACAAAGGTTTGCTTATTTGTTTATTTGAAAGGCAGAGTTAGGAAGGAGGAAAGACGATGGAATCTTCATCTACTGGTTCGCTCTGTAGATAGCTGCCCGTCGCCAGGGCTGGGCCAGTTTTAAGTCAGGAGTTTCTTCCAGGTCTCCCACATGGGTGCAGGAGTCCAATCTTCCACTGCTTTCCCAGGCCATTAGCTGGGAACAGCATCAGAAGTGGAGCAGCCGGGACTTGAACCAGTGCCCCTGACACCAACACTGCGAGTGATGACTTCAACCTGCCGCTCCACAGTGCCAACCCCGGAGCAGAACACTTTCTCCCAGGTACCTGGAAATGAATTCATGGTGGAGGTGAGGGGCAGGCTGCTTCCTTTTGTGGAATCCTGAACACTTCTCATAGAATTAAGTCAGTGTGAAGTTGCAGCCAGAAATAGCTCAGTTAACATTTCACATTGGCCTGCTTTTTGTTGAAGACTTTGGGGAGAGAGAAGATGAGCCATTCCATGGTACCTAAAGCTGTGTTATCTAGAGGGTAATATGTATGTCAAGAAAATATACTCCACAGGTGCATGACCTGATGAAAGTTACGATTCTTAGGCTTTTGAGAGATGAGGGGTGGGCAAAGAGCCTGGTGAGGTGTGGGGGGCTGCAGTCCAGACGTGTGAAGGGAGAAGATCACGCAAAAGGAAGCCATAGATTGATGGGCAGAACACTCATGTCTGCCAGTTCACCCTCCACACTCTTGCAGTGGCTGGGACTGGACCAGGCCAAAGCTGTGAACTGGATTAGCAGTGATGCCGAGACTCGAACCTGGGCACATGCCCCAGCTGCTGCCAGAAGGGCCTCCTAGAAGCCACCCCAGGCTGTGGTCAGGAATGGCAGGGGTGTGCCCCCCAGGAGGGACCTTAGGGGCAGGCCTGAGGGTGCGACAGGCCGTTGGCAGTTGGTATGGGGCAAACACGCACAAGGAGTCCTTCCTCCTCTGTGGCCTCGTGACTGATCTGCTAAGGTTTGGCCAAGGTGACTCCCATTCTGTTGAAATTGATTAGAAAGCTTGGGTTACAGAGACAAGAGAGCAAGCTCCCATCTACTAGGTTCACTCCCAAGATGGCTACGACAGCCTGAGCTGGGCCGGGCTGAAGCCAGAAACCTAAATTCCCTGTGTCTCCCAAGGGGGGTGTTAGGGACCCAGGTATTTGGGCCACCCTCCTCTCCGCTGCTTTCCCCGGGCAGATTAGCAGGGAGCTGGATTGGAGGTAGAACAGCAGGGACTTGAACTGGTACCCATATGGGATGTGGCATTGCAGGCAGCCGCTTAGCCTGCTATTATAGCACAATGAAGAGATTCTACTTTAAGTGGGAAGGACAGTTCTAGCACGTGTAATGAGATAACAGGGATTAAAAATATTTTTTAAAGATGTATTTATTGCTTTTTTAAATAGGAAAGTCAGATATACAGAGAGGAGGAAAGAGAGGAAGATATTCTGTCCACTGGTTCTCTCCCTTAGTGGCCGCGATGGCTGGAGCTGAGCCAATCTGAAGCCAGGAGCTTCTTTGAGTCTCCCACCTGGGTATAGGGTCCCAAGGCTTTGGGCCATCCTCAATTGCTTTCTCAGGCCACAAGCAGGGAGCTGGATGCGATGTGGAGGAACTGGGAAACGAACCAGCACCCATATGGGATTTAGATGCATGCAAGGCAAGGACTTGTGTTAGCCCCTGTGTTAGCCACTAGGCTATCATTCTGGGCCCCAAAAAATCATTTATGTTAATGTTTGGTCCTCAGCCATCTCAATCAAGCTCTTCTGCAGGGAGATATGATGACCCCGCCTCCTGAGGGTGAGAACCAAGTCCCAGGCCAGGGGAGGGGAATGGCTCAGGCAGGCTCAGGGCTAGTGCTCACATCCCAGGGAGTCTTCCCAGCAGTCACCGTGGCAGCTGCCTGTGCTGCCGTGGAGAGCTGGGTGTCTGGAAGGGGGCTAGAGACGGACCGAGGCGCTCTGATCTCAACCCTGCACACAGGAACAGCAGAGGGGATCCAGCCGAGGTCACAGCAGGGGCCCAACATGCCGGCGCATGCCCGAATCCTTCACACCCGTCGGGTCAGTGGGGCCCCTGTGAGCACACATGGAGCCTGCGGCAGGATCCGGAACTTGCCACGGGGCGATGCAGCCGTCTTTTTCCCTTTGTGCTTTGGTGGGGGCTGTGGGGTCAGCATCAGGGGTCCGTGTTGCCGTTCAGACCCTGTGTGGGATTCAGAGCAGAGGAAGTGCACTTAGCACCCGCTCCCGCCAGACAAGGCAGGGCACATTGCTGGAGGGACACCTGGACGGCTCCTCTGACTGACAGTCCCCAAGTGGCTGCTGGCGTGGGGTCAGCCAGCCTGGCACGCCACCCTCCCTGCCACATGGTGGATGCAGACTATGCCATGGCAGTCCTGCGACCTGGCTGGGGTCTGGAGATGCAGGGGTGGGGTGGCTGTGATAACTGTTGACAGGGACCCTCCCCAGGCGACAGGAGGTGACCTGCTGCCTGCTGGGAGTACGGGAGGTACACACCTGCTCGTAGTCCTCCACAAACTTGTACTTCTTCTCCCGGTAGTAGAATCTCTTCTTCATGCAGTAGAGTACAATGATGTCACACAGCACTGTGGCCTGCCGGGAAGGGGACGGTGAGCCCTGGGACCTGCCAGCCGCCACCCCATGTGTGTTTGCCTTCCTGTGAAGCCAGGAACCTCATGCCACTTGGGGCTTTTGGGAGCCCATGGGAGTGGAGGTGAAAGAGGGGGAAGCAGCCAAGCTCTCGCCCAGCCGAGCCGACCCTGCTAAGGGCAGCCCACGCCCCCGCCACTCACCACGCCGAGCAGCGCTACGCCGGAGCCGATGTTGATCATGGTAGGGATGATGTCAAACTTCCCAGCCTGCGAGCCACAGGGGAGAGGAAGACAGAGTGTGTCCGGGGGCAGGGGAAAGACAGGCAGAGACCCCACGTCCTGCAAGGGCTGGTCAGGGCTGCGAGGCTACCTTGCCGAACACAATGACGTCGAAGCGGATGCCGTAGGCCTTGATGAGCGTGCGGTACTCGCGGCCTTGGTCACTGTAGTATTTGGCAAACCTGGGGAGGGGGGGGAGGTGGCAGAGCTGAGAGGGCATGGGACACGGTGAGCCGGGCAGGGCCATGGGGTTGGCCTTGGCCAGTCTCAGCAAGGCTGGTGATGGCTGACTGCCACTGGACAGACCCACCTCAAGCCTCTCTCCTGACCAACAGGCCACACATCAGGGAGCTGCCAGGCCTCTGCCTGCCCCCTCTGGCATCACCAGGCTTTCCTGCCAGACGGGGGCAAGCCTCTTGCCCAGAATGTCCTCCTCATGCCAGCC